GCAGCAGCCTCTGGAGCCTGGTCCCCCTCAGACAGCCTGCTGTGGGGGGGTAGGACTGGGGAGGGTGCCCCAGCCCCCTGGGAGAAGTCACCACCAGAGCAGTCCCACTCCTGCTGCCACAGGTGGTCCCAGTAAGCCGCCTTACCTCCAAGCTCCCTGTCTTCAGCCCCATTCTCTGAGTCCTGCAACTCCTACCTGCCTTGACTTCAGCACCTGTCCCCCCTGCCCTGAGCCCCCCCATCTCCTTCCCTCTGCCCTGAGCTCCCTCCCACACCTCCCAATCCTCTGTCCTCAGCCACCTACCCTCTGCCCTTCCTTCCTCCTGAACTCTCATTCCAGCCTTCATTTTCCTTCATTTTCGAAAAATACAGTAACTGAAATAAAGCATGTACATTTTTCATTTATTTAAAACATATTTCTTCAATTACAGACTGGAGCAATGCTGGGTATATCTGCTAGAGAGAGTGAGAGAGAGAGAGAGAGCTTTATAGAGTTGTGCAGAAAACTTCTGTCAGGCACGTCCACACTACAAGTGTATTTTTGCGCAAGAAAAAGTACAGTAGATTGTCAGAAGACAGAGTTTTTTGTGCAAGAGTTATTCCTCTTTCTATGACCAATAAGCCTTTTTGCGCAAGAGCTCTTGCACAAAAAGGCATGTGTGGACGGACAAAAAAAAAGCACAGGTGCTCTGATGGCCATTCTGTGAATGGCCATCAGAGCTTTCTTGCACAAGAGCGTCTATGGCAGTGTGGATGTACTCTTGCGCAAGAACGTTTTGTGGAAGATCTCTTCCGCAAAAAGTTCTTGCGCAAGAAGCCTGCAGTGTAGATGTAGCCTAAGAGTGTTTGTTTTCATTGCAGACCATGATGTGTGAACTTCCTGTTGTTTCTTCTAACAATAGCTACTCTAAAAACAACAGAGTGGACTCATACAACCACATGTGAATGGCAGGCATCTTGTTACTATGGATTTAATCTTCAATTTATTTTTTTCAACCTAGATTTGATGTTTTAAGAAGCAAATACTGACTGGCTAAAATGCCGCATTGTCTTGACAAAAGTAATCTTGAGCTATTGAGCAAAGCCTTGAAAGTATGAGGTGAACTGCTGCTGGTTATTTGGGATTAATAAAAAAATAGTTTTTTAAGCAGCAAGTGATTTAAATTGATTCTGTTTTCTGACAGACTAATTTTTGTCGGCATTTCAACTAGCACCTTGAGCAAGAAACTGAAGTGGAAAAAGATAAATCCTACTCTGTCTCTTCTTGGCTAGAATTTAAGCCACCAAAGTCACAGCTGGCACTGAAAGAGCAGAGGCATCAGCAGAGACCTCTTTTCTTGCAGGGCATAAATTGCACTGAGATGCCCTAGCAACACTGCTGTGGAATTGTCTTGGCTCTGTGCTTTCTGGTGTACAATGCTTTCTTTGGGTCTTTTCTATAGGTGTTAGATTTTCTATGGTCCTTGTAGCTGTGGATTGGTCTTGATTTTTCATAGCTCCTTTGTTTTTAGGTCTGAAACTATTATGCTGTTGTCTTCTGTGTTCATTTTTGGAACTGCTTTTTATATTATTTTGATCTGTTTCGTTACTGGGACCTTGTGACTTGGCAGACCCACTGTGCCGGATGCCGTGATACTGGGAATTAAATCTTCGTCTCTGGCTTGATGGCCCATTCTACCAAGAAAGGAAATGATTGATTAGGTTGCATACCTCCTTAAAAGATCTTGTTAAACATGTATAACATGGTGAATATTAATACATATATGGAGAATCAAATTCCTAATGCAGCCAATGCATTTGTTTAACCAGGGTTGTAAGAAAACATAAAAAGGCTTGATCATTGCTAGAACTCTGTTAAAAACAGCTACATCTACAAGAACATCACTACAGAGTTGGCACTGGAGCTGTTTGCAAATGTGTGTGCTGGCCAAAAGGCAATGATATATTAACTCCACAAAAACGCCAGCAGCAAAACTAAGTAGCAGTAAAAAACCTGGGCCCTGATTCTTAAAGGTATTTAGATGCCTCCCTTCCATTGATTCTAGTGGGAATGAATAATCTAAATGCCTTTGAGGATCTGGGCCTTGTTCATTTTGATTTCTGCCCCACTCCCCTGAGAATCTAACTACTATTTTTTTATAGTAAAGCATTGTATAAATAGCACAATAAGATATGCAGAAAGAAACAGAAACACATCAGCTACATCTACACTGGCACCCTTTTCCGGAAATGCTTAAAACGGAACAGTTTTCCGTTATAAGTATTTCCGGAAAAAGCGCGTCTACATTGGCAGGATGCTTTTCCGGAAAAGCACATTTTCCAGAAAAGTGTCCGTGGCCAATGTAGACGCGCTTTTCCGGAAAAAAGCCCCGATCGTCATTTTCGCGATCGGGGCTTTTTTGCAGAAAAGACTACTGTGCTGTCTACACTGGCCCTTTTCCGGATTAGTTTTTCCGGAAAAGAACTTTTGCCCGAATGGGAACAGCATAGTTTTTCCGAAAAAACACTGACAATTTTACAGTAGATAGTCATTGCTTTTCCGGAAAAGCAAGCGGCCAGTGTAGACAGCTGGCAAGTTATTCCGGAAAAGCGGCTGCTTTTCCAGAATAAGTGGCCCAGTGTAGACACAGCCATCCTGGTTTCCATAAAGAAAGAAAAGAGTCAAGAATCCAGATGGAGGGGAGACATGCCCATTTTATTTACCCCTTACAGAGAGTAAGGTTTTATCAGTCATAGAAAGTGGTTGTCTATTTACCATATCAGTCCCATTTATACACTGACGCTCCTTATTTTCTCGTTATAAAGCTGTTTCATCTTGTAATCCCGGTCAGGCAAAACTCAGCCTGACTTCTTCACTGAAGTAAGCATTACAAGACAAAGACATTGCAGGGTGCTCCTGTATTCACACAGATGTAAATATACCACAAATAGTGAGCAGAACTACTGAGTTTGTGAAGTAATAAAATGCTCTTGAAATCAGGCAGATTTCTAATTTCAAGAACTACCAAATCCTGATGGCATAAGCTGATCATTTACCACTAGTCAGGAGCAAATATTTTCTCATAGCATAACGAAGGACAATCAGGTACCTCACAGGGTATTAAAAATCCTTGCTCTTGAAGCAACTGGTATTGGTCCCATGGTATTGATCTGTTCCTAACATTGCAAGTCCTACCTTCCTCCATCACATACATTCTACACAGTCCACAAAGTTGGAAAACACCTACTAGTTCATTTTGTCCATTCCTCTGTCAAAGACGAATTGCACATATATTGCAGAGTGATATTTAATTTTGTGCTGTTCACTTGTAATATTGCAGATTTTCTCATGAGTTTGTGATTGTTGAATTTCAGTATAGTTCCTATCTAGTTTCTCACCTGTTTATTTGTTGGGGTTACTTGGGTTGATGATTCTGTGGTATTGGAGATAAGATGACTTGGCATTTTAACATTGGCCGTTTTATTACCAAAGTTCTTGATGTGACTAGCGGATTTTCGGGAGTGTGGACTTTGCTTGCCAGTTGCCACATGCGAAGTCACTGCCAGCAGCACTGAATTGCATGGTGTTCTTGAGGAGTAACTGTTCTTTGGATGAGAAACTACAAAACAAAACCACTCAGTGTTACCAGATACATCATTCTTACCAAATCACAAGCCCAGATTCTTCTCTCAGATACACCAGATTTCACTGGAGTCATTTCAGAATCAGCTCCATAGCCTTTTTATGCCGTGACACGGGCTTGTTCCACAAGATAATTTTGGAGATGAGGAGCCAATCCTGCTACAACCCACCTGTTGGAGTTACCCCGGCATAGGCACCAACTTTCAAAACCTCCAGCTCTGCCTCAGGCCCTGCCTCTACTCCACCTCTTCCTGCCCAGTTCCACCCCCTCCCCTAAACACGCCACAACCTCAGTCCTTCCCCTTCCCTCCTGAGCCTCCTGAACATCGCGAAACAGCTGATCATGGTGGGTGGGAGGCACTGATCTGTGGGGCCAGATGGTGGGTGGGAAGCACTAGGGAGAGGGAGGAGGGCTGATAGCTATTTTTTCCCCATGGGTACTCCAGCCCTATCCTGAAGAAGAGCACTATCTTAAAGAAGTTCAGCAATTTCAAAACCCTTAAAAAAGAGGTAAATATTTAGGAGAGGCTGCTCCTCAGGATGCAATAAAAACATGAGGGCAAACCACATTGGGTAGGCCTGGATTATACTGTTTTGTAGGGTTTTTATCTCTGTGTCACTAAAACCCAACAGGCCAAATTCCTTTTTATGGATCCTGTCCTACAAAGTGCTAAGTACTCTCTACTCCCATCAGCTTCACTACTCAGCCCCTCTCCCCGCCCCCCTCCGGTTCTCCTCCCTGAATTTGGGCATGTGCCTAATTTGCCGAGGTGACAATCCTGTGCTGGTGGTGCCCATTTACACCTTGGACTAAATTTGTCTGGAAACTGAAGTGAATTTCATGCTGATAAAAGACTGCTGAAATGGAGATTTCAGTCTTTCTACAGAAGAGGTATAGCAGGGGTAATAGCTATGCAAGCTTCCCTCTTATGTCCCAATAATGTGCCTCTAATCGGACTTGCAAAGGCCATCTTTAGGGTAATCCAATCTCCAAGGCTCATTCAATATTTAGCCTATGGACCCAAAGGCCTGACTGTGATATGGACACTTGTCAACTACTACCTTATGGAGACCACAAACTCATCTCATATATGCCACTGGAAAACAACCTGAGTAATTACCTCTGTTCAGTCTCAACATGCTTCTGTTGATATTGAACAGAGATGGGGTGAGAGCCCATCCTTGCAGCAGCACAATGAGGTACCATCCCATTCGAGCAGTGGAATCTCAACCATTACAGGTTTGGGCTTAAATGCATTAAAACCAACTCTTCAGTTCTGGAGTCCTACACTTCCATAGGTTATAAAGTGGGCTGCTCACTTTTTAACAGAAAATACATGTTTTCCTTCAGGAAAGCGTAACTAAAATAGCGCAATGAAGATGTGTTACATTTGAATGAGATGATCACGTTTATAGAAATGATTACGGTTTGCAGAAATAGTGTCTGGAAAAACTTTAAAATCCCACTGTTCATCACCCAAAGATGAACATAATTCCTGTTGCTTTCATTTCCCACTAACGGCTGCCCGCCACTGTCAGACTGTGCAGCTTGCCCTTGCTGGCAGCTCAAACCCCTCACGTTCCTTACACTGCACATCTTTGTATTAGCTGTTCCTATAATAAGGCCCCAATTTAGCAAGACATTTCAGCATATACGTAGCTATAAGCACATCTTTAGTACAGGTTGAACCTCTTTGGTCCAGGACTCTCTGTCTGATAACATCCTTGGTCTGGCAGGACCATGGATGTGCTGGACCTGAGAGTCATGGTCCAGAAAGCCACGGCTCATGAGTGCAGGGGCTGGTACAATGGATTTTGTTTTTCTTTTCAGGTGGAAGATTGAGAGAAAGGGAGAAGCAACTGCTTGTTTGTTTTTTAAACAGACTAAGGCTTTTACAATATAATGAGGATAAGAAAGATCAAATTTTGCATTGAGGGAACACAAGTTTTGCAGTAGACAGTCAATGTGAGCATCTCAGTAAGTGTGCAGGACAGGTGTAAAATACCTTTTGCCAAATTTATCTCCTGCAAAAATACAATACAAATCTTCTGAAAACACAGAGTTCAGTACTCTGATGCCAGAGGTGAATCTCACCCCATGATATCATAGTAGTGCAGAAAAGTGAAACAGTTGCTACATTCACACAACACTTATTTTGAAAATAACCAGAACTTACTTTCTCCGCAGAATTGAATTTGGGTCTTTAGCTCTTCTATGTCACAGGAGAACCGGGCAGACCTACCCAGCTCTTCATCGTACTTGCGTTCACTCACAAAGTGCTACAAAAATACATAGACATTAACCCTGGCTACAATTCTAATGTATCCTACTTCATTATATGGATGGTGAAGAAATCATCCTAATGTTAATTATCCCAAGGTCACCGTAAGGCCTCAGCTGTTTGTCCGTGCTACAGTAGATTTTGTTTTTCTTTTCAGGTGGAAGATTGAGAGAAGGGGAGAAGCAACTATTTTTTTTAACATATTAAGGCTTGTACAATATAATGAGACTAAGAAAGATCAAATTTTGCATCAAGGGAACACAAGTTTTGCAGTAGACAGTCGATGTGAACATCTCAGTAAATGTGCAGGACAGGTGTAAAGCACTGTAAGGCCTCAGCTGTTTGTCCTACTCAGGCTCTCTGCACAGAATCTGAGCAGATAAAAGAAAGAGTAGTTTACCATCCTTTATTATGCACTGGCAGTCAAGGGACCGTAACACAGGTGTAAATAACATGTCACAATACTTTCAGGCCCTTTTTAAATGCCAGAGGAGTATAAAGGCACCTGACTATAAATGGAATCAGGCCCCAAGTGGCCTGATGATTAAGTGTCTCAGCTGCCTTTGATTTCAAAGGGAAGATTTTGCTAACTCTGGGGGTGTGTCTAGACTACACTTCTCTTCAACAGAGAGATGTAGTTTAGGCATGTCGAAATTGCTAATAAAGCCGGGATTTAAATATCCCGTGCTTCATTAGCATAAACATGTCTGCCGCTTTTTTTTTTTTTTTTTTTTAAGAAATGGAGCTTTTTCTAACCCTCTCCCCCCGGCAGTCTAGACGCGGATCTGTTGAAAATAAACCCTTTGTCGACAGATCCTGTAAACCTCATTTTTTGAGGAATACAAGATCTGTCGATAAAGGGTTTATTTTCAACACAGCCATGCCTAGACTGCCATTTTTTTTTCAAAAAAGCTCCATTTTGAAAAAAAAACCGGTGGCCATATTTATGCTAATGAAGCGTGGGATATTTAAATCCCTGCTTCATTAGCAATTTCGACGTGCTTGATTTGCATCTCTCTGTCGACAGAAGGATGCAGTCTAGACGTAGCTGGTATGTCTACATTGCACCGCTATTTCGGGCTACTGAAAGTATCCCGAAATAGCTACCCCGTGTCTACACAAGCCTCCCGTTATTTCTAAATATTTTTTGAAATAACAGGCACGCTATTTCACCATCCCGGTAAACCTTGTTGCACAAGGGTTAAGAGGTGGCTCGAAATAGCACATTATTTCAAAATTTGGCACTGCGTAGATGCACCAAATTTCAAAATGAGCTATTTGGAAATAGATTCGAGATAAGATATGCAATTTGTGTAGTGCAAATTGTGTATCTTATTTCAGGTTTAGGGTGCTGTGTAGACGCACCCTCACTTGCAGAACCTGGTGGAAGCCTTTTGGGAGCTTTGCTTCCTCCCCTCTGACAGGTAACAAAGAGTAGAAATAAGTCCTGTAGCCTCTTCCCTGAGAGCTCTGACATGGGGTTCTACAGAGATCTGACTTGTAGCCTCCACGAGGGGAGAGAGAGAGGGAGAGGAGCAAAGTCTTTTGGTGTGCTACAGTCATACACCAGCAGTACACTTCAAGGTATGGTTACAATCCAAAAAGTCTCAGCAGCAACTATCCAGTAATCATTATTGGAGGGACAGTGTCTTTACTGGTGTCAAGTCACCCTCACTGTCAGTTTTTGTGACCAGGCATTCTCAGGGAAGTTGTCACTTCAGTTTGAGTTGGCATGCTGCAGAAGACAATACAAGAAGTAATTGACTGATGGATCAATTTGAAATTTGGGAAAGGAGCTCGTATCATGCTGCCACTGTGCAGAGGTTTTTGTTATTTGCTTACAGGCTTAATATTGGCAGCAGGTAATTGGGACTAATTATTCTGGAATGCAGGCAGAGCAGAAGCCCCATATATGCCATTTAGTAGGATGCCGCTTAGACCTTCTCCATACTACAGGCGGAATCTCCCAAATTCAGGAATCTCTAGTCCGGCAGCATCCATGGTCCAGCAGGATGGACCAAAGAGCTCCAGAGGTGGGAGCAGGAGCCAGCTGAGAAAACGCAGGGCTGGGGAGTCCTGGCTGGGCCAGCAGTGGCTGGACAGGGAGGCAGCTGGAGGAGTCCTCACCCCCGGCCAAGGAGCCCCTGGCGTCAGCTGGGCCAAGTGGCCAGGGAACCCCAGCTGCAGTGGGGCTTCCGGTGGCAGTTGGCCAATCTGAGGATCCCCTCTCCCAAGGCAGCTGGGCTGGCGGTTGATGGTTGACCCTGGCTTGGAACCTCAGGATACTCCTGTTGGCAGCGGGGCTGGATAGGGCAGCCCCGGCTGTGGAACCTGTGGCTGAAGTGGGGCTGGCAGAGGTGGGTGGCCCTGGTCTGGGAACCCCAGGGAGTTCCCAGCAGGAGCGGGGCTGGCCCTAGCACCAGTGTTGTGTGGCCAGGCAATCTGGCCGTGGAACCCCCGGTGGCAGTGGGGCTGATGGCAGCAGGATGGCCTCAGCTTGAACGTTGAGAACACCATGGCCAGGCTGTCCCGGCCAGGAGACCTTGGGGCAGTGTGCGAGCAGCAGGATGGGAAGCCTGTGCCAGGGCAGTGTTTGCAGGGCCAACAGCAGGGCAGAGAGCCCAGGAACAGAGCAGCCAAAAGAGAAGCATTGACCTCCCCTGGTCCAGCAAATTCCCTGGTTCAGGATAGAGCAGGTACCGAGGATGCTGGATCAGGTAGGTCCAACCTGTAGTTCCTATTTATTGGCCAAAGGTACTGAGGATGGCCCTGAGCAGGTCTCCTCTCTGCCACACCCACTAATTGTCAGCCACAGTCAGGTCCTAAGCACTTAAAGCACTGAAGAGGGACACAAGTTACATTGGAAAGAGAGCGCACGTTCAAATGGAAGTAGCTTGGCAGACTAACCTTAATTTCAGCCCTGAGTTCAGCCAGTTGTGTCTCAGCCATTTGACTAGCTAAGTCTGTCAGTCTCTTTAGCTCCTCAGCTCTTTTCTGACGAGCAGTCAAGATTTCCACTGCCAAGAAAAAGATAATCAATTAGTGCTAGGAACATAATCACTTTTTAATTCATTACTGTCTGTACCTTAACACTGTGTGAAGTGTTGTCACTGTATGATCCCAGGACATTAGAGAGGCAAGGTGGTTGAGGTAATATCTTTTACTGAACCAACTTCTCCTCATGAGAGAGACAAACTTGTGAATTTACATAGAGCTCTTCCTTCAGTCCGGAAAGAAGAGCTCTGTGCAGCTGGAAAGCTTGGAAAAAGTATTCTCTTGCTAGCTTACTGCAGAATAACTTCCCTGGGTAGATAACTTCCCTACGTGCCAAGGTCACTCAGGATATCTGTGGCAAAGGCGGCATGGAAACTAGGGGATAGCTAGTGTAAATTGTCAGAGCTCCATTGAAGGCAACCAACTCTGACAGTTTACGTCACCCACCATGTCTTCATACATAAATGTTGTACATCAATATTGGAAAACATGCAATATGCTAAGCTACCAATATATTAGAACACATTTCCATCCATATAATCTCTTCAGCACCAATTAATCCAAATAATGGATTTCATTTAAATAACTAATGTTAAGAATTAGAAATGGATACTTTGTTCTGAAAGAATTCTGTTAATATATAGTTTTGTCTAACTTATAAGAGTTCTGATTTTGTTTTCAAGTACAGATTATGCTCTTAAACTGTTTATTTAATGAAGCAATATTTCATTTATGTAGCAAAATAATATTTTAACTGCATACAGATTTTTATGAAAATATTAAATATATAAAATCCACATTGTGACAGACCCCAAATGCTTTATGAAATGGACTCATGAACATGAATATGCTTGACTTGAAGATGCTTGGGACAAACTGTCTCATATAACCTATCACTTTTAATGTCTTGATCCGCTGGGTCTGTATATCTGATTTTGGTGCGTGTATCATTCTTGTGTGTAAAACTAGATATATGGAGTATGGAGTGGTTTACGGTTTTAAATGTGCAAATGGAAGCCATCAAGAGTGTTACCCTTAATGTCTAGATCACCAACTATAAACAATCTCCTTTGTCCTCTGCAATGGTTGGTCTGAGGAAGTCACATGTCCACCTCAACTGGTAGGGGCTGACCGACTAATGGAAGGGTGGAATGTAGAAACAGAATTCCCACCCAAATTGGAATTTATAAAACAAAAGGAAGCTTAGCAGGTTTTTTGTCTTTGGCGTGGCACACCCATGGGAATGATCCAAAGATGCCAGGGAGAGGGAGTCCCTGGTTTGAAGGTGGAAAAGGAACAGTTTAGGGCAGTGGTCTCCAACCCTTTTACACCCAAGATCACTTTTTAAATCTCAGAACAGGCAAAGATCTACCGCCCCGCCCCTTCCTTGAAGCCCCGCCCTCCCTATTCTCCTCCTGTCCATCACTTGCTATCCCCAGCCCTTACTTACACACTCTGATAAACAGTTTATTTTTAAATTATGCGATACATACAATTAAAATCACGTGTTTATAGTTATGAAATAAATGGTCTGGTTTTTATTCATGCTAGTTAAATCTAAAATGAAGCATTTATAATTATACATTTTGTGGGGACAGAGTTCTGCGGCTAGGGGCAGGGAGAGGGAACAGGGTGCTGGGAGGGCAGAGAAACCAGCCCATGCCTACCCCGGGGCCGACCCCACGCAGCGCAGGGAAGCCCCGCACGCGCCTGCCCAGGGCCGACCCCCCCACCCGCGCAGGGAAACCCCGTTAAATCTAAAATGAAGCATTTATAATTATACATTTTGTGGGGACAGAGTTCTGCGGCTAGGGGCAGGGAGAGGGAACAGGGTGCTGGGAGGGCAGAGAAACCAGCCCATGCCTACCCCGGGGCCGACCCCACGCAGCGCAGGGAAGCCCCGCACGCGCCTGCCCAGGGCCGACCCCCCCACCCGCGCAGGGAAACCCCGT